GCTCTTCCTGAGCTGGAGACGAGCCTCGCGGATCCAGTCGATCAGCACCTCAGTGACCGCACCCTTGCTGCGCAAGGGGAGGACTGTGGTGTAACGCGAGTAGTCGTCAACCACCAACAGGAAGTAGCGCTCGTAACCCTGCCCACGGACGGGGGCTGGGCACCACACATCCATGTGAAGCGTCTGCAGGGGAGCCTCTGTCGGGGGGAAGTGGGAGGAGTGAGGAGTAGCCCGGAGGCGACCCTCGACACAGGGGACACAGGAAGGTCCTGGCCCGGAGGGGAGAGGAGGGAGAGACTGGGGAAGACCAGAGACAAGGACACGGGAAGCCATGCTCCGAAGACGGGGCAAGGAGGGGTGGCCAAGACGGTGGTGCCACAGGAGAGTCTCGTGAGACAAGAGGCGACAAGAACAGGGGGCAGACTCAGGACCTGACCGGGACGCAGCAGCAAGTACCTGACCCGACGCAGCCACCTGACCAGACGCAGGGACAGGAGGAGACTCAACGGTCAGGGTGTAGAGACTCGACCCCGGCCGACGTGAGAACGTGGCCAGGTGTCGGCCTGTGCGAGCCTCCGTGCAGTGGGTCACCCTCTGACGCGCAGGAGTGAACTGGTGAACACCCCCATCCTGCAGGTCCGCTCCACTCACCAAGTTCGTAGAGAACGAGGGAAGGTACAGACCCGACAGGGTGCCCGAAGGGGCAGCCGGACACGGGAGGACAGTGGAGAAGTGAGACAGGACAGGACCCCCAGAGGGGTCAGCAAGGGAGACCGCAACCGGCCTGGCGAGCGGCGAAAGGGTAGTGCGGTCTCGAAAGAAGGAGCGAGAAGCTCCGGAGTCAAGTGTGAAAGTGAGGGAGGACGAGGACGACTCAGTACCTGAGAGCGCAGTCTCACCAGTACCTGAGAGCGCAGACGCACTGGCACCTAGAGCAGCAGCCTCACAAGCACCTAGCGCAGCAGTACCAATGCCCGGGTCGGGCTGAAAACACCGGTAACCCTCATTCTCCTCACTATAATCCACAACATACATAGCAGTAAGGATAGCATCAAAATCAAGATCAAAGATCGCTACACCAGCCCTGAGAAGCTCATCCCAGCGAGGGATCTCACTAGCCCCAGGGAACTGCTGACGCCAAGCGTCCGTCAGGCGGCCAAAGCAGCGCTGGGTGGCGTGGGCACCCCCACACTGCTCACCCGCGCGGTCGCCGGAACGAAGAACGTAGGTGCAGGGACCAGTACCCCCACCCCTCTGACGCCCAGCGTACCACTCACGAAGCTGCTGAGGCGAAGGGATGTCCCGCGAGCGCTGCTGCTGGTGCCGGTGCGAGCGCTGGCCACCACCACCGCCGCTACGCTGCTGGGTACCACCCCGACCAGCTCCACCTCCTCCACCACTACTGCCTCCTCCGCTGCCGCCTCCACTGCCTCCACCTTCGCCGCCTCCACCTCCGCCGCTGCCTCCACCACCACCGCTAGCACCACCACCACCGTCTCCGCCGCTGCTGCCGCCACCACCACCACCACCCCCGCCACTAGCCCCGCCGCCACCCCCACTCCCTCCGCCGCCACCGCCGCCACCGCCACCGCCCCCTCCAGCTCCACCCGCGCCCTTGCCCCCCTTGCCCTTGCTGGAGCGACGTCTCCCACTAGGGGCAGACGCCGCGCCGACCGACTCAAGACCAAGCAGGTCGGCAGCAGCAGCAGAGGCAACAGAGGGCAGCAAGGGGGAAGGAGAGCACCCCTCAAAGATGGGGGTGCGAGGGTCACCACGAGAAGCACCTACAGCGACTATGCTCTTCTCCGCTGCAAGGAGGGCCTTCTCGAGGAGGTCGACGGTGAGAGTGGTGGGACAGACTGCGAGAAAGTGGTCCCTGACGACGCGAAGGGAGTCAGGGAGGCGTGCGACTACGTAGTAGAGAGCGATGTACATGGGGGGGGGGGTTCTTAGCGCAGAACTCAGCAGGAAGGGCGGCGCGGTAGCGAGTGTCACTAGTGCGGAGGTGCGTAATGAGGTCAGCGACAGTGGGAAAGGCAGAGAGGTCAGGAAAGAGGTAGGGAAGCATGAGACGGCTCAGTGCAGCAGTGGCAGGGGAGGAGTAGCGCGCAACTACAGCGTCGTACAAGGTCTGAGCACTCTTGTACTGACTAAAGTGCGCACGCTCAGAGGTAGGGAGGTGGCGACGCACAGCAAGACGTGCAGCAGCATCGCGGGTGGCCCACTTAGAGCGGACAGCGGGATCAGCATCAGCAGCAGGGGCAGGAGAGGCGCCAGAGGTGAGGTCAAAGAGAGAAAGGTCGTCAGCCGTGTCGCACTGTAAGAACAGCTGCAGGTCGTCTAGCCAGACCTCAAAATCAATGGCGCGACCCTCAGCGTCAAAAGCTAGGACACTAGGGGTAGCCATGGTGACGACAGCGACGCAGTGCAAGCAGTAGGGAAAGAGCTCGCAGTGTTAGTGGGACAGTGCTCACCAGGCAGGGCAGGTCGTGCAGTCAGCAGAAAGGCGGCTCAGCGACCGGGCGGCTCGGGTGCACAGCTGCTCGGCTCCCGGGCGGCTCGGCGGCTGGGCGGCTCGGGCGCAGGGCGGCTCGGCTCCCGGGCGGCTCGGCGGCTGGGCAGCTCGGGTGCAGGGCGGCTCGGCTCCCGGGCGGCTCGGCGGCTGGGCGGCTCGGGTGCAGGGCGGCTCGGCTCCCGGGCGGCTCGGCGGCAGGGCGGCTCGGGTCCCGGGCGGCTCGGCTGCTGGGGCGGCTCGGCCGGGAGATGCAGCGTCGGGCCGGCAGGTGCAGCGTCGGGCCGGCAGGTGCAGCGGCGGGCCGGTAGGTGCAAGTGGCGGGCCGTAAGAGGCGGCGGGCCGATGGGTGCAGCGGCGGGCCGGTAGGTGCAGCGGCGGGCCGGCAGGAGCAGCGGCGGGCCGGCAGGGTGCAGCGGCGGGCCGGCAGGAGCAGCGACGGGCCGGCAGGGTGAAGCGGCGGGCCGTAGAGTGCAGCGGCGGGGCCGTCGGCAGCAGAGGCGGGGCCGCGTCAGAGGAGGCGGCGTGGCCGCGTCAGGGGAGGCGGCGGGGCCGCGTCAATGGAGGCGGCGGGGCCGCGTCAGGGGAGGCGGCGGAGTCGCGTCAGGGGAGGCGGCGGGGCCTCGTCAGGGGAGGCGGCGGGGCCGCGTCAGGGGAGGCGGCGGGGCCGCGTCAAGAGAGGCGGCGGGGCCGCGTCAAGGGAGGCGGCAGGGCCGCGTCAGGGGAGGCGGCGGGGCCGCGTCAGGGGAGGCGGCGAGGCCGCGTCAAGGGAGGCGGCGGGGCCGCGTCAAGGGAGGCGGCGGGGCCGCGTTAAAAGAGGCGGCGGGGCCGCGTCAAGGGAGGCGGCTGGGCCGCGTCAGGGGAGGCGGCAAAGCCGCGTCAGAGGAGGCGGCGGGGCCGCGAGTGAAAAGGCGACCCGAGGGGTCGCTAAAAAAAAAAGGGCGCGCCTCGGGGCGCGCGTCGGTGGGCCCAGACAACGGTCCTAAGGTAGGACCCGCTCTATACCATGTGAAAATAGGAAAACAGGAATGAATGAACTATGAATGAAAGCAGTACAAATATGAAACCCTAACTGGGTTGTACCCCCTATGGGATACCCCACTACAGCCTACACAGCAGTATAAGCTATAGATATGTTCTGACAAACCATATATAAAATAGGACCGCGCACTAACAAATATTAGTGCGCATATGATTTGTCCAAGTTTGTGTGCTTAGGGTGCATATAAAACATACTCTTAAATCCCATACAGCCATATAGTAAATTGTGTTTAATGAACGCGTTCAAATATGATCGGCAATCCGTAAATCTTGCGCCTGATTAGACGCGCAGTGACAACAAATGCACCACTCTATCTCCTGACTAATCGAGCGCGGTCGTTTTGCTGTGTCGGTTCGTTTCGGGTGAAATGCAGTATATGATCGCGAAGTCATATACTCGATCGCTGATTGGATGTTAATTAGATGTACCGCGCGCTCATTGGTCGTGCATTTTGCCGAAACTGACCGGTCAATGTACTGTTGGTCGGTTTCTTGTACAGTGGGCGGGCCACTTTCGCGTCCGTGAGCCTGGCGAAATTTTAAGGTACGGAACACCACCTAGGGATACCAATCGCACGAATAAGGAATTTCAGGGCTACAAAGACCCGTAGGGTAATGCGCCGGTGAAAAAAAAGCGAGCAGGAATCCCCTGGCGTGGTCACTCGAGTAATTATCACCCAATTTCGTGGCCACTCGAGTAATTCGAGGCCCCCCGAGAGAGGATGAATCACCCGATTGGCCACTGGAGAAATTCTCTCTTTTCCCTCCCTAGCGAACACGGGTCGATCGAAGGCAAGCAGACTGGCCAAAGCGGGAATTGGTGGTGTTCCGCCAATCAGAGGAAGCACATCGTACTGTACTTGCGCCAACTCCGCAGACCATTGGGCCCCCAGCCAGGCCAGAACCAATTTACTGTAAGTATTCCGAGCCTCATCCGAACCGAATATTGTGTCTTCACGATCAGGCAACAAAGCCGCTGATTCCCAACAGCCGTCCACTCCCAGCGTCCCAAGACCTTCGGACATCTCCGAACCAGACCTCGTACGGAGCCTCGACCTTCGTCCGAACCTCAGCCCAACCAGCCTGCCCCTTACTTCCAATAATATTCTGACAAATAATATGGTTTGGGGCGCCAGCAACGCGGACTCCCAACCTGTACTGCTTTGGCGGTTGTGCCCCCACAAGACAAACCAGCTTCCCCCCCTCTTGCCCCATCTTCCCCCTTTCCATCCACATTCCCCTCTAACCCCCATATCTTTCCACAGAAACTGATCAGCCACTTGTCCTCCAATCAATTCCTAGGCCCTGGTTTCCATGACCATTCTCGTTTGTGTTTATTGGGACTAGCATTCCCATTTCAGGATTGATTCTTCTTTCTAGATCCATGATACAGAGCACCTGGAAGCTCTTGAGGTTGTGTGAAGGTCTGGCGGAGATGGATCTGCTAATGCTCGTATCGAGCGTTTTCCGCTCTGACGTCTCGATATCCCCGGCCCAGGCGACGTGGTTCGGGGTAGCTGCTGCAGTGGCCGTTGTTGGCGCAACAACCTTGGTTCTCTCATCCATTGGCAAGCCCGAGGTGAAAGGCAAGTCCACCACAGAGCTCAGCGGAGGAAAGTTGAAGAAGGATGAAGTGGCTAACGGCTGGACTAACTACGACAGATACTTCCAACAAAATCCTGGCGAAGGAGTCACCGAAAAGAGCCAAGCTCCTCAATTTGTCGACACATTTTACAATCTCGTGACCGACATTTACGAATGGGGGTGGGGACAGAGCTTCCATTTCTCGCCTGCTCTCCCCGGGAAGTCAGATAGGGAGGCGACGATCGCTCATGAGGAGTACATTGCGACTATATTGAAGCTTAAGCCTGGAATGAAGGTTCTGGACGCGGGATGCGGAGTTGGCGGACCAATGCGCGCGATCGCGGCCAAGTCCGGAGCGAATGTAACTGGTGTTACTATTAACGAGTATCAAGTGGAGCGTGCTCAGCAGCACAATGCCCGGAGAGGCTTGGACAAGCTGTGCACGGTGGTCCAAGGCAACTTTCTTGAGCTGCCGTTTGAGGATAACAGCTTTGATGCTGCTTATTCTATCGAGGCTACCTGCCATGCTCCGAAGCTGACGGACGTTTACGGCGAGATCTTCCGCGTGCTGAAGCCCGGCCAGCTGTACGCGACGTACGAGTGGGTGAAGACGCACAAGTACGACCCAGACAACAAGGAGCACGTTAAGATTATTGACGACATCTGCTACGGGAACGCGCTTCCGGAGCTTCGATCTTACAAGGAGATCGTGGAAGCAGCTGAAGCGGTGGGGTTCGAAGTTATTGACAACAGGGATGTCGCAGCTCCTCCTGCTCTCCCCTGGTGGACGCGCCTCAAGATCGGCCGTATCGCGTATGCTCGCAATCACCTGCTCGTGAAGATCGTGTCGATGCTCAACATTGCTCCCAAGGGACTGGTGGACGTTCACAACATGCTGACGACGGTCGCTGTGCACCTGACACAAGGAGGCGAGACCGGGATCTTCACTCCCGCACACCTGCTGCTGCTTCGGAAACCCGCTGCGCCGGCCTCCACTTAAATGTACGTATAATTGCGAGCCTCTTTTTACCGAGCTGATTCAAGGTTTTAGATTTGGGATCTGGATTAAAATAAGGAGTCTTAGATGTTGACTATTCTAATTTCTGTCTTGCTCCCTTGCCCCTCTTTTCCCGTCTCCCCCCTTCTTCCCCTCCCCTGTAAACTTCAGTAGAATTCTGTGTCGCCTACCTGAGTGCTCAACCATGAATAACCCGATGACCAACGCACGCACTCGCGGGTGCTGTCGCGGGTGTTCAGTTCGCGTGGGACGGTGTGTGACCCTGTTTTTCCTCTTTTTTTTTGTGTGTGTGCTACTTAACGTATTCCGCATCGCTCTCGCGTACTCCGTAGCGTAGCATGCGTGCGAGTGTGAAAGAAATGTGAAGAGGGACCTGTTTGTGGGGCCAAAACCCGCTGATCCGTAAACGTTCTTCGTCATCAGCTTGTGTGTCCTTGGGTTTGTGTTATTTAACGAGCAAAGCCAAGCTCTTGGCGAACGACTCTTACAACCTGCAACATTGATGCTTGTCGTTCTCAAAGTTCCCACTTAAAAAATCGAACAAACCAACCCCATTCCCGCTTCCACGACTTCGAAATGCCGCCTGTTTCTTCATCTCCTCGCATTCCCTGCAAATCGACCCGCATTCCCTTTTCATTGGCCTCGACGCACCACATTCCTTTCCTCCCATACCGCTCACGTCTCCTCTCCCCCTCTCTATCCCTAATCGTCCCCACCACGACGCTGTCTCCGACCTGCTGTCCCCCACTTCCTCAGTCCTTCGCCTCCTATACCCGAAACCCCGAACCCTTCGCCCCTTCTCCTGTTCCCCGCCCGCCTGCTGCACCATTTCCCTCCCCCTCCCCCTTCACCAATCCGCTCGCCCTTTCTCAATCTCTCTACCCTCTTCAACTTCCCCCTTCTCCCCTCGTTAACCCCACCTCCCTCCTCCACCCCTCCTATTCCCTCTCCACCCCTCCTCCACCCCTCCTCTTCCCTCTTCCACCCCTCGTCCACCCCTCGTCTTCCCTTCTCCACCCCTTATCCCGTCCCCCTGTCTCAAAGCTCTTCATTACTTCTCCATTCAATGCTGTTGCCCACACACTCTCTCCAACACTCCCTTCCTCGCATCTCGTTCTCCATTCCCTCACCTCGTGCGCCCCTCCTCATCTTCCTTTGTTTACAACACTTCTCCCTTCCTTCCTCCTTTAGTCACTCGTCACTTCACCTCCCTTTTTGCATCCGCTTGTTGTTTCTTCCTCTCTTGTCTCCCTCACTCCCTCCCGCTCCGCCACTCTATCCTCCCCTCCCTCCATCCCTCCTGCCTCCCTCCTGGTCGCCCTCCCTCTCTCCTTCTCTCATTCTCTCCCTCACTCCGGCTCTCTGTCTTGCTCTCTCTGTCACAGTCTCTCTTTCTTCCTCCGCACCTTCCCCCGTTAATCCCTCTGCTCCCTCTGTCCATGCAACCATCAGATTCGCTCCTCCCTCTCTCCCTACCCCTATCCCCCTTGCATCCATCTCTCTATCCCTTCGTCCCAACACTTGGCCCTGTACTTTCATCTCTATTAGGTACCTCTTTCCTGTCCTCCCTCTGTACATTCTCATCCTCTTCTGCCCCCCCTCCCACCACCCACATCTCTCACTCCTATCCTTTGAACCCCACCTTTCTGGACATCCCACTCTCACTCCTCTCCTTACTACCTGCCTACCCACACACTCCTCCCAAGCTCTACCACCTAAACATCTGTACACAGCATGCATGTGTGCCTAAGGTCGCTCACATGCAGAACAGCATATACTCGTTAGAGGGCAGCTGTGCCACCATGGACCAGAGACTCACTTTCTCGCTGCATGCATACCCAGGATGGGGTGTTGTTGAAATCGTTCATCAAGCTGTTCTAGTGTGTCTATTTCGCTCATAGTACATGGAAACAGAAAGATGCTTTCCACAATGAACATGTTGAGCACAGGTGGACGGAAGAAAATGCACAAGATGATTTGTGTAGTTGTTATGGGTGCAATGAATCGAGGTAGCGAGACTTGCACGAAGTGTCAAACGAGTACAAAATGTGAGCGAAGGCATGAGCGAACATTTATATGCGAAACATGCAAACGGTAAAGAGCTAGCTAGTGCTACACCTAGCCCACGCCAATTTCAATCCCCCCAATTTCTTAGGGTTTATCGTCGCCTGGTGGGTTACAGCGCACGTGGCATGGTGAATGGTCAGCAGAACATTACGACGCTGTAGGATGACATGCTGGCAGGTCATCCCATACTCAAATTCTTGCCGAACCACTCTCGAACGCAGAGCAACACTTCAAAACCATTCAGTTTCTGCTTCGTAACTTTCTCGCTCGACACACGCGGGAGGCAAATCCGCCCCGTCAGCACAGACAGCTAGGTGCTGACTCACTACACAAATATCCCTTGCGCAAGTGGCAAAATCGCGGCTCGGTGCGAAGTTTTTGAAATTAGCGCGGGTTAGGTGTACGCTGGCAGCGAGGCTCGGGCTAGTCCCGAAGCGTACGGTAGGCCGATAAGGCCGGGCCAGCATTGCGAGGTTTAGTGAAACAGTGCGCGTGAAGTCGGCGAGGCCCCGTTAGCAGTAACGGGCGAGCATCGGCTGCTGCTGTACGCGATGTTGCATGGCGCGCTAAGGAATGTCGAGAAAATTCCTTACAGTAGTTCACGTACCGTATAGGTAATTTAATGGGAGTGGTAGTGTACAGTTCCATCAACCAATTTTCACAGGGTAACAGCATAGCAGTGCCAACCCGAACAGGCACACACCTGCTGTACATTCAATGAGACCCGGAGACCCCTGATTGCACCTCTATGACCATTATTCTGACTGCTGTTAACGTTTACACTGGCGTTCACAATCGGTAATCGGCGGTGTAACAAGAGATTGGCAGCACTAGTACCGTATATACATGTTGACAAGATTCCTCTGGGCTGGGCTGTAGAGGGAAGCACTACCAATCCACTGTTCTGGCGTTTGCACCACTGTGAAGCTTCTGTTTGTGTTCTGCCTCCAGTTCCTCCTGCAATACAGGGGATGGTGCAGACAGGGTCAAAAGCCACAACAATTTTGAACTGGTAGCAACAGCACAGGTGTTAAACAATAAATACGATATTATAAGAATACAGTTAAGAAAATCGGGATTACACAGCAGATTCATTACCTTGGAGGCAGCAAGCAATGGCCGCAGGAAGGTGCTTCGGAAAATTTCGATGAAGGGAGCGAGTGATGTCGACTCAATGCCTGCAGTGGAGCGAACGAGCGAGAGAGAAAGCCAAGAACATTGGACAGGATACGAAGCCAAAGCAATGCAGAAAGTTCATTACTTAGTCAAAAGTCCACGTATTGCACATCAAATGCACCAGAGTATCGACAAGGCACGAAACGAAGGACAGAAATAAGGGTAGAGGTAAGGAAGGTGAGGAGGAGGAAAAGAGGCAAGGAGCCCTTACCCATGGCCGCAGCAGCGGCGCCATCTGGTCCCCGATGGGCTGCATTGATCTCATTCATCAGCTGTGAGGGGAGGGAAGGGCGGGGGAGAACGGTGGAGGATAAGGAGGGAGAATTAAGGCAAGGAGGCCTGCCAGTGGGTGCAGCAGCGGCGCCATCTGATTCCCGATGGGCTGCATTGATCTCATTCATTAGCTGTGGAAAGGAACAGGGAGGAAGGAGCGAGGGGAGGGGGACGAAGAAGAGGAATGGAGGATAAGGAGAAAGAATGAAGGCAACTCCTGTAAGAGGTGGCATCTGATGCCCCATGAGCCGCATCGATCTCATCCACCTGCTGAAGGGTAGGCTCGTGTATGAAGATTTGTTTTGAGACGTCTCAAAACAGATCTTCATACATCTGATGCCCCATGACTTTTTTAGAATTCTCAAAAACTCCCTGTAGGCACGTGTATGAAGATTTGTTTTGAGGCGTCTCAAAACAGATCTTCATACATCTGATGCCCCATGAGCCGCATCGATCCCATCCACCTGCTGAAGGGAGGAAGGGGTGAGGGAGGAGGAGGGAAGGGAGAAAGGGATTTACGAGGAAGGGACAGAAGTCAGCTTCATAGGTTGCGTTGGCTATCGGGAGAGGTTCAAGGGATATCCAGCTGCGGATCTTTCACAGGCTTGCTCTGCTGAGTTGACACGAACCAAATATGAGGGAACGGGAGAGGGGGTGAAGAGTAATTGAGTAGCACGTAATTGAGAAACATAGAGGCATAGTTCATTCGAGCGATGGTGGTTCGAGGGACACAACAGCACCTGATTGAGTGTGGGGGCTTGGCTTGGCTCGAAGTCAGCACAGTTGGCTGGGTCGATGGGCACACACACAGCACCTGTGAGAGGGGAGTGAGAAGGGAGTGAGAGGGGAGTGAGAAGGGAGTGAGAAGGGAGTGAGAAGGGAGTGAGAAGGGAGATGACCACACACACAGCACCAGAAATAGAGCACCCGGAAGGTGAGCAAGGAACAGGAGTCAGGAGGATGCGGAAACCAAAGCAGACGCAGGCAGAGAGCAGCTCACTGTTTTCAGGTGCATGCAGAACCGTGCTTTTAATGAATGAAGCATGCATTACTGTGCTTTTGATGAATGGAGGATGCAGAATTGTGCTTTTGATGAATGGTGCATGCAGAACCGTGCTTTTAATGAATGGTGCATGCAGAACCGTGATTTTGATGAATGGTGCATGCAGATCCGTGCTTTTAATGGATGGTGCATGCAGAACCGTGCTTTTAATGAATGGTGCACGCAGAGCCGTGCTTTTAATGAATGGTGCATGCAGAACCGTGCTTTTAATGAATGGTGCATGCAGAACTGTGCTTTTAATGAATGGTGCATGCAGAACTGTGCTTTTAATGAATGGTGCATGTCATGTGGAAGTTCACCTGTCCGCTCAACAAGTGGCAGCATCACAGGAGGGGCACGAAAGTCACCTGTCTTTGGGTGCACGCAGAACGGGGCCTTGAGCAAATGGTTCATGTGCTTTGAGACCTGTGAGGAACAGAGAGAGACAGAGAGGCAGAGAGACAGAGAGACAGAGAGGCAGAGAGGCACAGAGACAGAGAGGCAGAGAGACAGAGAGGCAGAGAGACAGAGAGACAGAGAGACAGAGAGACAGAGAGGCACAGAGACAGAGAGGCAGAGAGACAGAGAGACAGAGAGACGGAGAGACAGAGAGACAGAGAGGCAGAGAGGCAGAGAGACAGAGAGGCACAGGAACAGAGAGACAGAGAGACAGAGAGGCAGAGAGACAGAGAGGCAGAGTGGCACAGAGACAGAGTGGCACAGAGACAGAGTGGCACAGAGACAGAGTGGCACAGAGACAGAGTGGCACAGAGACAGAGTGGCACAGAGACAGAGTGGCACAGAGACAAAGACGTATAGAGACAGAGGCGTAGAGAAATCAGGCGTGGCGAGCTTTTGAGTCGACTCAAAAGCAGAGTCGATTCAACAACTTTGAGGAAAAAGTAATAATTCTTGCGCCTCGAAAACTGTAAGAAGCAAGACATAGATGCGTACTGATGCAAACACAAACTCCACCTCTAGGTTATCTGACACACACCCACCCAACCCCACACATCCACCCACCTCCAGATCGAGGCGAGGGTATGTGAAGGCAAACACTATCTCCTCTACAGCCTTCCTTAGGGTTACATTCTGAAAGGGGGGAAGGGAGAGGGAGGGGTGGGAAGACACAGGGGCACATGGCAAGTGCAATTTCCATTATGGGAGAACAACTGCAAGAGGTGTTACTTCTGCAGCAGCCCAATATAGGGTACAACTGAGAGGGAGGAGTTTACCTTTGTAACAGCTCAATCTAAGGTTCAACTGAGGGAGGTGCTTACCTTCTTAGCAAAGGTTATGACTGAGGGAGGGAGGGTAGTGCTTACCTTCTTAGCAAAGGTTATGACTGAGGGAGGGAGGGTAGTGCTTACCTTCTTAGCAAAGGTTATGACTGAGGGAGGGAGGGTAGTGCTTACCTTCTTAGCCGCAGCTCGTGTGGTGGCCTCCAACTGCTGCCACCTGTACAGGTTGACGTCAGCAGCTGCTGACGCACGCCTGCTGTCGCTGCGCCACGTGGCATCCATCCGATCCTGCAGCTCTGCACATAGTGGAGAGGGGGGGGGAGGGGAGCGGGAGAGGGGGACGGGAGGGGGGAGTGGGGGAAGGGGACGGGAGGGGGGAGAGGGGCATAGGGGCGGAGGATGGGCCGAAAGGGGGATGGTCGCAAGAAGGGCATAGGGGGCATGAGTTGAGTGATAAAAGTTCCCCATTGGCCCTTTTACTTTGCACCTTGTGCACCAGTGTCTGGCAGATTCCGAATCCTCACTTTGACTGACCTTGGTCGGGAAGTTGATTCAGCACCCTCTTGCACGTGTCTGGTAGGCTCAGCAGCCCTTGGTTGGGCAGCCCCCTTTCTTAATAGCACCTTCTGCACCAGCATTTGGCCCTGCACCGTAAATCCCACCTTGGTCGGGAAGTTGATTCAGCACCCTCTTGCACGTGTCTGGTAGGCTCAGCAGCCCTTGGTTGGGCAGCCCCCTTTCTTAATAGCACCTTCTGCACCAGCATTTGGCCCTGCACCGTAAATCCCACCTTGGTCGGGAAGTTGATTCAGCACCCTCTTGCATGTGTCTGGTAGGCTCAGCAGCCCTTGGTTGGGCAACCCCTCTTGGATTACACAGCACCTTGACATTGGCATGTCACCCTCTTGACTGCACTTTGCACACCAGCACTTGACCATACATCGGCCTCACAACACTCGATCGCACCTCGGTCAGGCAGCTGAAATAGCACCCTTTTCCACGTGTCTGATTGGCCGAGCAGCTCTTGATTGAGAAGCCCCATTTCTTGATCGCACCTTTTGAGAGTATTGCTTTTTTTCAGTTGATTCAGCACCCTCTTCCATGTGTCTGGTTGGCTCAGCAGCTAATGCTTTGGCGACCCCCCTTCTGAATCGCACCTTGTGCACCTTGTGCATAAGCCGCACTTTGACTCACCTTGGTCTGGCAGTTGATTCAGCACCCTCTTCCACGTGTCTGGTTGGCTTAGCAGCTCTTGGTTTGGCAGCACGTCGCCCTCGAATGTGCCCCGCAATACTTGGTCGTATGCCCTCCTGAAAGGGGAAGACAGGGCGGGAGCAAGGAGTGGAAGGAGGTTGAGTGCGGTTCAATGCATCCCAGAAGCAGCTCTTGGTTTGGCAGCACGTCACTCTCGAATGTGCCACGCAATACTTCGTCGTATGTTCTCCTGATGGGGGCAGCCAGGGCACGAAACGGATGGTGGTAGTGCGGTTCAGTGTGGTTCAAAGCATCCCGGAAGGAGCTCTTGATTGGTCAGCACGTCAACCTCGAATGTGCCCCGCAATACTTGGTCGTATGCCCTCCTGAACGGTAAGGGCGAGTCGAACGAAAACACAAGGTAGACCGTCACATGTGACGTAACAGGAACAAAAACATCTCAAAATGAAAAAAGACCTACAGAAAAGAACGTTGATCGTGTTGAAAGGCCATATGCTACACACAGAAAGAATTCACTTTCTCACAGGAAGATAATTTGCTCACATGAGGGAGGGATGGAGAGCTGCACCCGAGAATGACACCTTGCTTCCATTGGCTTCAGTTCCCTGCACATCGTGTTAATATGGTGTTAGCGTGGTGTTGATGGTGTTAGTAGAACGTGGGTCTTTGAGTCAACTTTATTAAGTTGACTTTTGAGTCAACTCAAAAGTCAACTTGATGCTGTTAGTAGCACTTTAGTCGACTTCATCTATGCACATAATATGAAAAAAACATTTTTAGCCTCGAATAGCAGTTCCCTGCCAATGGTGTTACAAGTGCACGAGTGATCATATGTTGGACATCCCAAATACCTTATACACTCGGAAATATTCAGCCACTGCAGACCGTTGCTCATTGGTTAGCCTGACGAGGGTTGGGGATGGGGGTGAGGAGGAGGGGAAGAGGGGATGAGGATGACCAACTTTCCTATCACCATCTTTCCATATCAAGATTTTCCCTGCCACCAACTTTCCCCACGCCGATAAAGGGGTAACCATCTGTCCTCTCACTGCCCAGCCTAATGCAATGCTATACCTTTTCCATCCGTGAAAGATATCTATGCATTAACCCCCCCTCCCCTCCTTGCTCGTCTGTCACACACCTAGCAATGCACGCTTTTTCGTCAAGCGGGCTCAGAAGAAATAAGAAGCACCAACCCCCCCTTACCTCCTTGCTCGCCTGTCGCACACCCAGCAATGCACGCCTCGTCTGCCACTGAACACCCACAAAATGTGCTCGAAACCAAAATCCTCTGGCGGGTGGGAAGAAAGCCAGTGGGGAGGGAAAGTGCGAGAAAGAGAGCGAATACTTCCTTGAAAAGTGCGCCCAACACTCCTGCCAGTGAATGAACACCCACAAGATGTGCTCGAATCCAAAGTCCTCTGGCGGGTACTTGGTGAGCAGGGGCATGCACAGTGAGGAAGCGGGACGGAGAGAGGGAACCAGGGAGGGCACATTATGAGAAGAGACCAGAGGAAAATGCTCATTGTACAAAAGAAGGAAAGTGCATAGAAGAAAGAAGATACCTCTAAGGGCAGTGTCGACGACTTTAATGGCAGCTGTCATAAGCGGCCAGCATTTTGTGCACACCGACGCTCCTGAGCAGCAAGTTCGCACATCGTCGTAGTCGCTTATATCCTGTAACGAGTGAGGCAGAAAAGGATAAAGTACAGTCAATGTTCGACATGGGTAGCCAGCATTTGGTGCACACTAACGCATCGAGCCGGAGATTCGCATATCATTATAGTCGCTTATTTCCTGCATACAACAAAATCCATTCATACAATCCAAGTCATAAGTGATCGGCAATCAACACAGACTCTTTCCCCGGTTCAGCAAGTTGGACCATCCTTGTGGTCGCTTAGGACGCTTATTGTTGGTGACGAGAATATAGAGAGGAGATGTCATCGGTATTGTGAAAGGCGCAAATACGGAAAGTGGCAACTTACAGTGTAAGAAACACGAAAAAGGCGTCGTTACTATGAAATGCACGAATACGAGAAGTGGCAACTTACAATGTCGAACACAAGCTCCCGTTCCACAGGTGCGAACGCGCTCTCCGACCCGATTCCCTGATACGCCGCTCGTCTCGCCGGCTGTTACCATATGCATATGGAAAGAAGAGATGATAACAAGGAGGAATGATTATATCGCATAAAGAAGCGAACACGCCTTCTCCTTCTCGCACCCTTCATACACCGCTCGTCTTTCGCGCTGCAATTGCGAGGGAGTAATCCATGATAAATTCTCAGGCACGGTGAAAGTCACACGCAATTCGAAAATTTTACAGCGCGCTGAAAAAGTAACGGCGAGTCTTACGTACGTCGACGTTGTAGACGGCTCCTATGTCGATCTTATGCGGGTTCTTATCGCGGATCGCGGCTTCCATGTCCGCGGCGTCGCGGAACGACTGGTATCGCACGTAGATGTCGTGCTCTAGAGTGAACGAAAACTCGCGACGCTGGAGATACGACGCGTCGGTTCCGGGAAGTTTCCTGTCGTTGCAGTACGAGAGCCAGCGAGCCATGTCTGCGTAGGGGAAGAGGCGGCGATAGTAGATTCTTAGTAGGTCCGTGCTGAAACACGACTCGGCGGCGGACTGTTTGGTATCTTGCGGCTCGGCCGCGACAGCAGGGTCTGTATCTTCAACTTTCGATGGAGGTTCGGAATGGTCTGTCATGTTCTCGTCGGATAATATCGGACTACCCATTGATTTAGAGCACAAGTTGCAGATTAGCCGAGTCAGAAATGAGGGGCACACAGCTTAAAATATAAGCTGCACGCCGTCACTGTAAAGAGTTAAGATTCCGGAACTGAAGGTGGGTTGAACGGACGCCAATGGTATGTAGATATATTTTTTTCACAGCAGACGCACGAGCTAACAATCGCAAGAGTGAAGCCTTCCTAGTTGTCAGGAGCAGCGAAACGGCAGGATATAATCAATTGTCATGTCAGAGCCCAGAGGACGGATGGAATGGAAGCAGTGGCACTAAGTGGCTGGCTAGTGGAACGGACAATACACTCCCCAGGAAACCCTGGGAGCTGTTTTTGGCGGGAACCCAGAAGCGCATTTGAATTTGCAAATACAAACTGTTAGAGTCACAGCAGATCTCGATATAGTCAGAATCTGATAATACAGTGAGCTATCTCAGAGAAGTGTTGTAGAATAACGCGGATTTCTCAGTCGCAGATTTTCTCGACGACTTGTCGTCAGAGGTTTCGTGGCCAGATATCTTTCGCCGCGAAATCGCCAACTTTCGCGTCCAGCAAGGTGGGAAGCCTTTGCCCTGACCTGACAGTCCAGACCGGACTGCCCTTGCACCCAATTGGAACTTCCAAAATTCTCCGAAACGAGAAAAAAGTAGGAAAACAGAAACAAAGAATACTGTTTAGCTGATTCTAGCTTCCAGTAAAGCCTAACTCAATACCGATTTTGGTTTCTTGAACTGCCCGCACCGAAATTTCTCTCCCACAAGCCAACCACCAGAGAAACCCTCCACCGAGATCTCCACAAGCCATCGCAAGCACACTTGCCTCATCCATCCTTATTTCTGCACACAACAACCTATCCCTACCAAACCCATCCCATCCCATCCCATCCCATCCCATCTCATCCCATCCCATCCCATCCCATCCCGTCCCATTCCATCCCATCCCACACAAGAGTTCACCTCACTCTTAGGCCCATACAGGTCCATCCAGAACTAGTCTCTCCGATTGATCCAAGACTAGTCCCCTATCATCTTCTTTCTCTCTTTCCCTGATTCCGAAGGCACTCGGAGCTGGGTATCTCTAGAGTTACCTGGCTGTATAGATTCGTCTGCCAGGATGGAGTCGGTTCCGCTAGCTGCCTTAAACGGCGACTTTCCGTACCGTCGCTCGCAAGCGGTCGAAGGTGGTTATAGCGAGAACGGATGGGTTGGCGTTGACGGTAGCGGCAAAGGAGGGAAAGCCTCTCATGGGAAGCGCCATGCGAGTCGCTCGTCCGCGCCTTACGCGAGACCTACTTCCGGAAGGCACGCTGCCGCTGGCTACGCTGCAGCAGCAATTCGAACTGCCACGTCGGCAGCGGGATGTCCGGGGGAATCCCAAGGCCGCGCAGACGCGTTGCTAGAAGCGCCGGGGAGGAATGGTGAAAGGAGGGATGAGCCGAAGCAAGACGGGGTGGGAAGCGCGGGAAGCGGCTGGTTTGGCTCGTGGCGGAATTCGATTGGATCGCTCGTCAGATGGCCTTGGAGCTCGCGAGGTATTCAATCACGGATCTTGAATCTCGGATGTTCATTAAGCGAAATCGCACCAATGCCGTGGTGTTCGACGATGCGTTTCCCGTGGTCTGATTTAAGTTTAGTAATTTCACGCGGAAGAGTCGATAGGTTTACCTCTCGAGTCGATCCGGTTCACCGTCTTTACGCATATTATAGGGTTTACAAACTCTTGAACCGCGTCTGCAGTTGCTTGACAGCCCAGACCAGTATCGAGTCGCCGTGTAGAAGCGTGAAGTTAGCGATCTCGCCTTGTGATAAATCTCCTATAATGCATATATTTTTCCAATATTTTGTCCAGAGGGTAACCGGCGTAACACGCAAGGCGAGGGACAAGGCGTGTTGGACAAGCGACCGTCTGACGGCGCAACCAGCAGCGAGCCCGCGGAGGGAGCGAATGCTGCTGGTGCTGCTGGTAATATCCGGGATCGACAGGCGGGAGGAGCGAACGGGAAGCAGCAGAGGGAGGAAGGCGCAGTGTTGACGGAGGTTGAGCAGCTTCTGAGACGAGGGACGCCGTTATCTCTGTACGTTATGTTGCAGATTCGCATGTTATTCTTAATCTTTAGGGTAGGTTATATTCCGAATACATCGTACGGGAAACATGGGAACGAGGCCGTGGTGATGTCGGAGATCGAGCAGCTGCTGAGACGTGAGACATCGCTTTCGCTGTTGGTAACCTGATTTCTTTGATGGTAACACGTATCGTTCGTCTATCGTAAACTCGTGGCCCTCTTTTCGTCATTCGTCACATCCGCAGGTCATTGACAATGTGCCAACCAATCACCTTCACTGGGAACTTTCGGTTTTTTTAAACCGTTTCTAGTTCTCTATCCTCCCGGTTCTGCTCGCGGCGTATCTTACTATACGCGTTCTTGCGTTCCACCTTTAAAGCTCCAATCCGAACCCCTCGCATCTGATTAATCCCTTGTTGGTCCCGCCATGCTGACGTGTCACGGCCCTACCCTACAGGCGCGAGTTTCAGCGGCTGAACGAGCTGCTGCGTCAACACGTGGCGAGTGGCGAAGCAGAGAGGACAGAGGGCAAGCAGGAGGAGAAGGAAGAGGGGAACGAGGATGGGGAAGGGGAAGAGGAAGAGGAAGGGGAGGGGAGGCGGCAGGAAGAGGACGAGGGGCAAGAAGGGAGGGTGGAAGCATCTGCGGGGAAGAGAAGGAAGACTGGCGGCAGTGGCAGTTGGGTGGCGGCAGATGGGATGAGAGGGCGGGAGAATGCAGCTAACACTGTGCACGTTGCACCTCGGGTTACGCCTCGGGTTACGTCTCGGGTTACACCTCAGGTTACGCCTCGGGTGACACTTGATGACATTTCTGGAGGTGCTGATGGCGATGGAATGAACGTATCGCCTGTTGACGTCGCGAGAGCGTTCATGCGACCCAGTATGGCCGCTTTTCCTGCAGCAAAAACACCACCACCGGCACCAGTAGCAGCAGAAGCGGCTGAGAAGGTGAGTGTGTTGCAAGTGAGAGAATTGATGCATTGAATAATGAGCCAAGAGGCTCTTTAGTACAAACAATGAGCAAGAGAGAGATGAGAGGGAAGCTTACTCTATTGGCCAATAAGTTGGCCAATGGGTGAGCTTGCTTGTGACCCAAGCAACCACAAATGTGTGTTGGTTGGGATTGGTTGAGCTAAGGACCAATCCCAACCAACCACAAAATGTGGTTGGAGGGTACACTAAGCAACCCCCCAATTGATAAAATGTGCTACACTTCTAGCCTATGTATGTTGTATAAAATATGAAATTACAACAGAGTGAGTGGGTGGGTGATTGAGGTTAGTGAAATTGTTGCCTGTAGACGTGGCAACGGCTTTCCTACGACTGTAAGACTGTCTCCTGAAACCAACCCCACCCCCAAACCACCCCGCCTCTCCCCCTCCCCCCTCCCCCCTCTTCCCCCAACAACCCACCCCACCCTTCTCATTGCCTTATGATTCCGTCCGTGGCAGGGAGTGAGCCTTCGAGCGTGGACGCCGTACCAGACCCAGCTGACGCCAGCGACCAAGGTAAGGCTGTCACGTCATCCCATGGAAAGGAGAGGAAAGGGAAGGAAAGGAGGGGAGATGAGTGGAGCGATCTCGTTGCTGCACTCTCAACATTCATCGCCGCATGTCTGGCAGAACCAGAGTTCTTTCTTTCTTAACGTGTCGCAAAAATCAGTGGTTTTAACTGTCTCTTTCTCGCTGCCCCTCAACACGTCTGTTGCCATTTGGCAGTCTCGCAAGCGCAGCAACGCACAACTGCATGAACCCAGCCCACCCAGCGCAAGCCCTTGGGGTGCTGTACCCCTTGTAAGCCCCTCTGCTGTTCCTCATAGGCGCAGGGGCAGCATCGTTCCAAGCGCAGGAGGGCTGCGTAACGGTGGGACTGGTAACCAGACTCGCCAGAGGAGAGTGTCGTTTTCGCCAGCAGTGCTGGCAGCAGCAGCGGAGGGGGAGGAGGATGAGGAAGAGGGAGGGTGGAGCAGGAGGATGGGAAGAGGGAGGGCTTTAAGGAGGCTTAGAGAAGGGGATAGAGACGACTGGTTGCCTCTGCAACAGCAGCAGCTGTTGCAGCAGTTAAAGAGGGACCAAATCTTAGCAAGCGTTCCTTCCCGGTCAGCTCAATCTGCCCGGAAAATCCTGGACACGTTGGATCGGATGGCTGGGGCTTTGCCTGCTGCGGAGGGTTTTGGTCGGTCAGGGGAAAGGAGGAGAGTGAGTGGGGGTAGTGAGTTGCAGAGATTGAAGGGGAAAGAGAAGGTTGTTGAGGGGGAGAGCGGTGGGGAGGGAGGGGAGAATGGGGCAAGAAGCAGAGAAAACGAGCAGCAGTTGCAGCAGCAGCAGCAGCAACAGCAACAACAGGGACAGCAGAGACAAAAGCAACAGGAGCAGCAGGAGCAGAGAGGCGATGGGCTGGGGAGGGAGAAGGAGGGGGCGAGGGGAGAGGAGGGGGGGGAGGCGAGGCGTGTAGGGGGAGGTGCGTTGGTGGATGGTGGGAAGGAGGATGGTGGGCAGGGGACGAGGAGAGGCCGCCATGGGTTCAGAATGTCTGTTTTCGAGGTGAGTATTTTCGGATGGGTCTGAATGGGTTTGGAGAGTTTGGAAGGGTTTGGATGGGATATTAGCGGTTTGCAAATGCTAACGAATAGAACTCGTCGTTAAAGCTCGCAGACAGAATGGCCACCATTTTTCTCTGGCTGTGCTTTCATTTCCCTCTTACTCCCTATACTTGAGTCTTGTGATAACGTGTGTTAACTGGTGTCATTGCCCCCCACGTTCGTTGGCACACAGGAGGACGAGGAGGACAGGCCAAGCCAGGACGCAGCAGCAGCGGGAGGAGGAGGAGCAGCAGCAGGAGCAACAGGTGCAACAGCAGCAACAGGAGCAGGAGGCAGCAAGGCGGTCGATAGAGAGGCAGCTAAAACAGGAACGGACGCTGCTTCTGCCGCTCCTGTGACCGGCGGGCAGCAGCGCGAGGGGGAGAAGGGCGAGGAGCAGAGCAAGGGGGATAGAGGCAAGGAAAAGAGCACGGGTGCTACCACTGGAAGGTGAGTTGGAGGAGGGGTGTGGGACTGTGTGGGAATGGCGTGGGTGCAGTAGGGTAAGGAGGGGTGCACATGATTGAAAGATAATGCTTCGTTGTCAACTCCCCCATTTCCCCATTTTATTTTATTTTAAACTTCACTGCTCATCCCGCGTTTCCGTTGCGCTTTTTTTTTCGCCCGCTCTGCCCTCCCATGCCCACCCCTCCCTCGCCCCATTCCAGTTTCTTTGGCTCAGCAGCGCATGCAGCAACTCTCGCGCCGCAACCCACGCCTGCAAAGCCAGCATCACTAGACACCCCTTCTCACTCTTTTCCGTTGTACCTCTTTCCACTCCCCCTGCTCCCCCATGCCCGCCCTGCCCCTCTCTTGCCCCATTCCAGTTTCTTTGGCTCAGCAGCGCATGCAGCAACTCTCGCGCCGCAACCCACGCCTGCAAAGCCAGCATCACTAGACACCCCTTCTCACTCTTTTCCGTTGTACCTCTTTCCACTCCCCCTGCTCCCCCATGCCCGCCCTGCCCCTCCCTTGCCCCATTCCAGTTTCTTTGGCTCAGCAGCGCATGCAGCAACTCTCGCGCCACAACCCTCCCCTGCAAAGCCAGCATCTCCAGACACCTCCCAAGGCAAACCCACAGCACCACCCGCAGCAGCAGCAGCTGTGGCAGCACCAGCAGCAACAGCAGCAGCAGCAGCAGCAGCAGCAGCAGCAGCAGGAGCGTCGTCCTTTGGTGCGTCTGGGTTCAAGGCCCCTTCCTTTGGCTCCTCTGCTGCTGCCACAACCTCTCACTTTGGGTCTTCTACCCCTGCTGCCCCTGTCCCTGCTCCTGCCCCTGCCCCTGCCCCTGCCCCTGCCCCTGCTGCCGCTACCTCTGCCAGTGCTCCTTCCTTTGGCATTTCCCCCACACCCTCCGTCCCCCCTGCCACTGTTTCTCAATCCGCAGCAGCACCAGCACCTGCACTCACAGGAGCTTCCCCAACGGCAGGACCATTGTTCGGCATCAAACCAGCAGCTGCGGAAGCTTCTCCTGCAGCAGCAGCAGCAGCAGCAGCAGCAGGAGGAGGAGGAGGAGGAGCGGCTTTAGGGGCAGCACCAGCCGCAGCAGGGGCAGCACTGTTTGGCTTTAAGCCAGCAGCCGCCGCTCCAGCTGCTGGAAAGGATGCAGGTGCGGCTACTGCTTTTGGTGGCGGTGATGGGGGGGATAGGGGGAGAAGGGGAGGAGAGGAGGGGGGTGATATGGGGAGGAGGGGAGGAGGCGAGGAGGAGGAGGAGGCAGAGCCGAGGAGGAAGCGGAGGGTGTCGTCGTCGCCTGTGGGAGGGGAGTCGGGTGGTTCACCTCCTTCCCTCTTTGGCTTTGGAAAGCCGCCCGCAGGTGTGTGCTTGCTCCTTACTGCTTGCTCCTTACTGCTTGCTCCTTGCTCCTTACTGCTTGCTCCTTGCTGCTTGCTCCTTGCTCCTTACTGCTTGCTCCTTGCTCCTTACTGCTTGCTCCTTGCTCCTTGCTGCTTGCTTCTTGCTGTCTCGGAATTTCCGAGTTTCCCCTACCCCTTCTCTTGCCCTCTCTCTCATCGCCTCCATCTCCATTTCCCTCTCCTCTCTCTCTTCTCTCCATCTCCCATTCTCCCTCTCCCCCCTCCCTCCACCTCTCCTCTCCCCATCTTCCTCTTGCCTAATTATTTGTTTTTTCTTTTTCTTTTTCCTTTTCTTTTTCTTTTCCCCCCAATTGACAGGGTCCTCCTCTCCCTCAGAAGCCGCAGCTCCACTCTTCGGTGCTGCTTCTGCTGCTCCTCAAGCCTCTGCCCCTGCCACCACAACCACCACCACTCCTTCTGCACCTGCCTTTGGTTCGGCATCCACCGCACCCGCCTTTGGTTCGGCATCCACCGCACCCGCCTTTGGTTCGGCATCCACCGCACCCGCCTTTGGTTCGGCATCCACCGCACCCACCTTTGGTTCGGCATCCACCGCACCGGTCTTCGGCTCGGGATCAACCGCACCTGCCTTTGGCTCGGGATCAGCACCGACATTCGGCCTCAGCCCATCTTCCCCCCTTGCAGCTGCTTCTACCCCAAGCTCTGCCGCCACAGCCACAGCTACTGCCACAGCTACAGCCACAGCCACTGGTTTTGCCACCGCTTCTACCCCTTCCTTCGGTCTCGCTGCACCGTCCTTCGGTGGGGCCACAACCACCCCATCAACAGGCATCACCACAACCGCCCCTTCTTTCGCCACTTCAAGTGCCCCTACTTTCGGCACCACAACTGCCCCATCCTTTGGCCTTACTGCGACCGCCCCGTCCTTCGGCCTCGCCTCGGCTCCAGCGTTTGGTGGCTCTTCCACTGCTGCAGCTGCCGCATCAGCAGCACCTGCAGCCACCACCACCACTCCAGCCTTCGGCTCTGCTGCTGCTCCTGCTGCTGCCCCCACCACCACCACTGCCGCTGCTACCACTTTTGGCAGTCAGCCTGCTCCTTCCTTTGGGGCATTCGGCTCTACTCCTGCCTTTGGCTCTGGTGCTGCTTCTACCACCACTGCTTCCGCCACTGCTGCAGCTCCTGCTTTCGGATCGTCTGCTGCTGCCCCGGCCTTTGGCACCACTGCTGCAGGTCCTGTGTTTGGCGCTCCATCCTCCTCCCCTGCCTTTGGTGCTGCATCCTCTCCTGCCTTCGGTGCTGCTTCCACCCCAGCGTTTGGCACATTCTCTGGTTCATCCGCCCCTGCTTTTGGATCCTCCGCGCCTACTTTCGGATCATCTACCCCAGCTTTCGGCTCGTCAACAGCTGCTGCTACAGCTCCGCTCTTTGGCACCCCATCCACCACGCCAGCACCTGTTTTCGGTGCCCCTGCTGCCGCAAGTACTGGTGCCGCTACTGGCTTTGCCTTTGGCGCTACGGCATCATCAACCCCCTCTGCCTCTACCACCCCTGCTGCTGCTGCTTCCTCGTCTCCCGCGCCTGTTTTTGGATTTTCCGCTGCTTCTTCCGGACCTGCCGCCGCACCTGGGTTCACGTTCGGCGCTGCCGCACCAGGAGCTCCGGCAGCAGCATCTGCACCAGCAGCGTCGCCGTTTGGTTTTGCCGCCTCCCAGCCTGCCTCCTCTCCTGCTCCATTCTCCTTCGGGGCCCCAGCAGGCCCAGCAGCAGGAGGAGGAGGAGCAACAGCAGCCGCACCCTTCACCTTTGGAGGGGGAGGAGCAGCAGCACCAGGGGCACCTGCAGCAGCGGGAGCAGCAGCAGCAGGTGCAAATCCCTTTGCCTTCGGCTCCACCTCCTCTCCCTCGGCTGCTCCTGGCGCCTTCGCATTTGGATCTAACCCTGCTCCTGCTGCCTCCGCTGCTCCCTTTGGTGCAGCCTCCGGCTTCCCAGGAGCCACTGGGAGCAGCAGCCCCTTTGGTGGGATGCAACAGAATACAATGTCCATGGAACCAGGTGGCATGGCAACGGCTGTTTCCACTCCTGTCGTTTTCGGAGCCTCGCCGTCCCCGGCAGGAGCTAATCCTTTTGCGTTTGGGCAGCCCGCAGCTGGAGGTGCCCCCCCGGGCGCTGCCCCGTTTTCGTTCGGTGGTGCTGCTGCTTCCCCGTCGCCAGCGGGGAGTGGTGGGTTTGCTGCTCCGTCCATGGTGTTTGGTGCTGGTGCTGGTGGTGGTGGCGTTGGAGGTGGGGCTCCTGCTGGTGGTGGTGGGTTCTCGATGGGAGCAGGTGCACCCACTCCTGGGAGGAGAGTGGTCAAAGCCAAGAGACCAACGGCAAGACGTCGATAAGCAATATTGGTGACAATCACAATGAAATGGCGGGGCAGCTTTTGCTGCAATTATGGGTGCTGTTGCTATGGGGTACGGTATTTTGGGTGGGGTGGTGGAAGTTTTGGGATTAATTGTTTATGGGTACCGTTAAGTGCAACATGTTGGGAATATAAACGCATGACTTAGTGCGTTTCTGTAGTATCGAACCTCACCCGATACTGAAGCACAACAAAGGGGGTACGAAGTCGAAAGGGCGCGTACCACATCAAACCGCAACTGGAGGCTGCGAGCTGTAACCGCCTGGAGGTTACGTAACAGCAAGCGACGCTTCAGTGAACAGTAACCGCCTCGATAGTCGAAGCGTTACGCGTCTCGATAAATACAACCGCTTCCTGTAATCTACCTTTCCTATATATTCCTGTATGCTCTTTGCTTTAATCAATTACTTGTTCTCACACACCAGCACAAGTACATTCACTCAAGTCTTCCGCTGTGCTACTCTAGCACCTACTAGCCTATTCTCTGCAAAGATCCTAAGGCTGAAATTCTCAGCCCAACATGGTATGAGAGCAGTCAGAGAACAAGGCTCTCGTCACTAAGCCTCTCTCAGGCTACCAATCTGCAAGCAAACAAGAAGTTCAACCTTCATTCAAGAAAGGCGAGACATGGCAAGTGGCAAAGAAAGAAGGTCATCTACGGGATCTACTCTACCCCTGGTCTCCGAGCTGCAGACCGAAGGAGGAACAACGCCGGAAGCGATGGAACGATCTACTCAGGCGCCAGTAGCGCCGCCAACAAGCTTCGACCCAAGCTTAATGGAGCAATTCTTCAACTTCATGTCGCATCAGCAGTCCTCACAACCTGCAAACAGCAACAACGTAAACAGCGGAGCGACACCAATGAGTATTGACAATTCATCGTTCGGACGACATAATCAACAAACACCAAACTCAGTCTCACCTGGTTCCTTCACGTTTATGCCGCCTCGCCATCCAGCGACTCCTCTTTCTGCCATCAAACGAGACGCCGAAGAAGTCCTGCAAGTACAAGCACAGTTCAACAACATCCAGCGACTGCACACATCCACACCATTCAACAGGAAAGACTTCTATTCTTGGAGTTTCGAGTTTGAACTCCTGATGGAAGGCGCGAATCTTCTTGGATTCTTCAACGCCACCTGGCCATATCCACACAACGGCGAAGACAAAGACAAGGAAAATTATACTTATCACTCTCTGATGGCCTACACCGTACTTCTTCGAAATTTGTCGCCGAACGAGCAGCAAAGCATCCGCGTCTACCGGAACTACGCAAACTCCGCGGAACTCGCTTATCAGCATCTGCGAAGCATTCATCAAGCATCCGACAGCGTTACACAAAGCAGACTCATGGCACAGCTGACAACAGTTCAAATGCAACCTGGAGAAAAGGCCATGCCTTACATCAGTCGTTGTCAAGGACTACGCGACAGACTCATTCGCTGCGGAGGAAACTTATCTGAAGAAGCGTTTGTAACCGTCGTTCTCGCCGGCCTTGGACCTCAATGGCGCACCACCCGTTCACTTCTTCGCGCTCACGGTCGACTCTCCGAGATGCATCTCTGCGCCGAACTTCACGCCGAGCAGCAGGAAATGGACCTGTTCGAAGAACGCAACAACAAAAGACATCATCAACCAGTCGTTCTTTACACCAATCGACAACAGCCAAGGTACCAAAATCGAAGACACGTACCTCCTTACTGTCATCTGTGTCGGACATCAGGACATACACGCTTCAATTGCCCTCAGCAGCAACGACAACCAGCATCGTTCTCTCGTCATCTGCGACCAGCGCCTCCTCATATCGCGTCAACTCAACAACGTCCCGCAACCGCCTCAACGACTACTTCAACGCGACCATCAGCCTCCACTTCGGGACCTGCACAGACACCAAGAATCGTCGCCATGGCACGAACAACAGAGCCGCCCTGCCCCCGAGTCGCCCTGCCGCCGAGCCGCCCGAAAACCGAGCCACCCTGCCGCCGAGCCGCCTTGCCGCCGAGCCGCTCTGCCACCGAGCCGCCCAGCAGCTGGACTGTCAGAGCTGCCCTGTCTGGTGAGCACAGTGCCTTCTCCCCCTGCACGGCCCTCCCTCCCCTACTGTTTACACTGCTCGTCATCTGTAGTCATGGCTACCCCTAGTGTCCTCACGTTTGACGCTGAGGGACGAGCCGTAGACTTTGAGGTCTGGGTCGACGACCTGCAGCTGTTCCTACAGTGCGATAGGGCAGACGACCTCTCTCTCTTTGACCTTACCTCTGGCGCTTCCCCTGCCCCTGCTGCTAATGCTGACGCCACTATTCGCTCCCAGTGGGCCACGCGCGACGCTGCTGCACGTCTTGCTGTGCGTCGCCACCTCCCTACCTCCGAGCGTGCGCACTTTAGCCAGTACAAGAGTGCTCAGACCTTGTACGACGCTGTAGTCGCGCGCTACTCCTCCCCTCCCACTGCTGCACTGAGCCGTCTCATGCTGCCGTACCTCTTCCCTGACCTTGCTACTTTTCCCACCGTAGCTGACCTCATCACGCACCTCCGCACTAGTGACACTCGCTACCGCGCTGCACTCCCTGCTGACTTCTGCGCCGCGAACCCCCCCCCCCAATGTACATCACTCTGTACTTCCTAGTCACTCGCCTCCCTGACTCCCTTCGTGTAGTCAGGGACCACTTTCTCTCAGTCTGTCCCACCACGCTCACCGTAGACCTCCTCAAAAAGGCCCTCCTAGCAATAGAGAAGAGCATCGTCGCTGTAGGAGCCTCTCGAGGTGACCCGCGCACCCCCATCTTTGAGGGGTGTTCTCCCTCCCCCCCGCTGCCCTCTGTTGCCTCTGCTGCTGCGGCCGACCTCCTTGGTCTTGAGTCGGTCGGCGCGGCGTCTGCCCCTAGCGGGAGACGCCGACCTGGCAAGGGCAAGGGGGGCAATGGAGCTGGAGGAGCGGGCGGTGGAGGTGGAGGTGGAGGCGGTGGGTGGAGTGGGGGTGGCGGTGGGAGTGGAGGTGGGGGTGGAGGGGTCGATGGCGGCAGTGGAGGCGGAGGCGGCGGCGGCGGTGGCGGTGGGAGCGGAGGTGGCGGAGGAGGCGACGGTGGAGGCGGCGGCGGAGGCGGCGGCAGTGGTGGAGGCAGCGGAGGAGGCGGAGGCGGTGGGGGTGGCGGTGGAGCTGGTCGCGGGTCGTCGCAGAGGAGTGGCTCCGGTGGTGGCTCGCGCCAGCAGCAGCAGCGCGGTCGTGAGACCCTGTCACCTCAGCAGCTCCGTGAGTGGTACACTGCACGCCAGCGGGGTGGGGGTTTTGGTCCGTGCACCTACGTCCTGCGCACCGGCGACCGTGCGGGTGAGCAGTGTGGGAGTGCGCACCCCACCCAGCGCTGCTTAAGCCGCCTGACGGACGCGTGGCGTCACCAGTTCCCGGAGGCCTCAGAGATCCCTCGCTGGGGCGAGCTGTCTAGGGCGGGTGTGGCCATCTTTGATCTTGACTTTGATGCTATTCTTTCTGCCATGTATGCTGTGTCTATTAGTGATGAGGGTGACTGTTACCGGTGTTTCCCGCCCGATCCGTGCATTGAGACTGCTACTCTACGTACTGGTACGGCTGCTGCCCTAGGTGCGTGCGACGCTGCTGCTCTAGGTGCTGGTGTGTCTGCGTCCTCAGGTACTGGTGAGTGTGCGCTCTCAGGTACTACGTCGGCTTCGGCCTCCCTCACCTTCACCCTTGACTCTGGGGCATCTCGCTCCTTCTTTCGAGACCGCACCACACTCACCCCGCTTAGTCGGGCGGTTGCGGTGTCTCTGGCTGATCCCTCTGGGGGTCCTGTCCTATCTCGCTTCTCCACAGTCCTCCCTTGTCCGGCGGCTCCCTCTGGCACCCTCTTTGGTCTCTACCTCCCCTCGTTCTCGACGAACCTGGTGAGTGGTGCTGACCTACAGGATGGGGGAGTACACTAGTTCACCCCTGCGCGTTAGCGGGTGACGCACTGTACTGAGGCTAGCACAGGCCGGCACCTGGCTACGTTTACCCGTCAGCCGGGGTTGAGCCTGTACACACTGACCACTGCGTCCTCTCCTGTTGCTGAGTCTGGTAGGGTAGCTGCGTCGGGTCAGGTGTTTGCTGCGGCGTCCAGGTCTGGTCCTGAGTCTGCCCCCTGTTCGTGTCGTCTCCCGTCTCACGAGACTCTCCTCTGGCACCACCGCCTTGGCCACCCCTCTCTGCTTCGGCTCAGAGGCATGGCCTCCCGTCTTCTTGTGTCTGGTCTCCCCCGGTCCCTCCCTCCCCTTCCTCAGGGCCCTGGCCCTGCCTGTGTCCCCTGTGTCAAGGGGCGCCAGCGGGCTGCCCCCCACTCCTCCCAGTTTCCTCCGACAGAGGCCCCGTTGCAGACGCTTCACATGGACGTGTGGGGCCCAGCCCGCGTCCGTGGACAGGGTCACGAGCGCTACTTTCTGCTCGTTGTTGACGACTACTCGCGTTACACCACAGTCTTCCCCTTGCGCAGCAAGGGTGATGTCACTGAGGTGTTGATCGACTGGATCCGCGCAGCTCGTCTTCAGCTTAGGCAGCGCTTTGGCTCGGACTTTCCTGTTTTGCGTCTGCACTCGGACATAGGCGGAGAGTTTTCCTCTGGCCTTCTGCGAGCCTTCTGTCGTGCACGAGGCATCCGTCAGACCTTCACGCTTCCGGACTCACCGCAGCAAAATGGGATTGCTGAGCGCCGCATTGGCATGGTCATGGACGTCGCTCGTACGTCTATGATGCATGCGGCTGCCCCCCATTTTCTGTGGCCGTTTGCGGTCAGGTACGCGGCGCACCAGCTCAACCTCCAACCCAGGGTCTCCAGGCCGGAGACCTCCCTAGCCCTGCTGCGGACGGGGAAGGTTGGCGATGCGTCGGCGTTCGGGGTCTGGGGATCTCGGGCGTTTGTCCGCGACTTGTCTGCGGACAAGCTGTCCCCTCGTGCTGCTCCTTGCGTCTTCCTGGGGTTCCCCCCTGAC